AGGTATTTCTAAGAAATTTAAAGACATTTTAGCATAAATTATTCAAACTGCAATGCTATTCTGTTTTTTAATGTTCCCTGCACACAAATGTATATTTTACTAATTGCTAAAATATTTTTGTATGACAACCCACGACAATCTTTAATATCATAGAAATTTCAAACAGTTTTTAAACATATATTGCTCTGAATGTCTTTCATTTGCTAAGAATATTACAAATCTCTCAGTAGGTAATCTCTTTTTTGTCTAGCAAAAAGCTAAGGCTAGTTGATCATCTAACCTTCATTAGAAGTGGAATTAAGAATAGCTAAACATATTTGGTCTATTTATTCCGACAAACTATTTCCTTTAGCACACAATTATCACCAACTCTCTACAAATTATAAATAACAGATCTAAATTCAACAATCAGTGTTGGACTGCTAACGCAAATACGTGTAATTAATTAAGAAACTAAAGCCCTTTTTTTTTAATTTATTTTTTTCATTTTACCATGGAAGTATTATAGATGGAAGTGCAACTCTTAAAATCATCAAAGGCTCCGAATTCCGTCACAAAAACCATGCGTGAAATATAAATAATCGACAAATGAACGATATTTTAAAAAAATGCCTTATTATTTACCCCTATGCATTAATTTAAATTTTAAGTTAATAATGTTTTAAATAGATACTTTATGCTTATATAAATAAAAAATAGTTTAGAAGTTAGCTGGAATGTTGCAAAATAGTTAGTTCTATAATTTAAATGAAGAGACTGATTTTTATGAGTAAAAAGATGGTTCAGCTGTTGGTTCATAAAGATGGTTCATAAAGGGCTGTTGGTTCATAAGTATATTCCATCACATACCTAAAAACCATACATATTAGCGTTTCCATTAAAAAAAAAAGTATTTGTTTTTTCAATGTTAAAAATACCTTTTAAAATAAATTTTAGCACGATTCATTCCCATTCATTCATTCATTCCCATTCATTCATCTCCATTTTTAATATCAAAACACAATATAAACATCTGCACCTCAAATTCTTTATATCGACAAAATTTGACTGATTAGAGAATTTATCGGGAAAAATTGAGTTAGCGAGTTTGTTTTTTACATATTTCATAGCGCCGTCCAACTTTAATGAAATTGTTCACGACTTTTTATTGTATAATAAACAAAAGATTTCACGCATGGTTTTAGGAATTTCAATAGCGTTGCACTTCCATCTATAATAATTCCATGGTTTAACTTAACGACAAGATTTTGAACTGTGCGCTTCGATAAATTAAGAGAGGTGAAATGCTTATTGTAGATTGATCTCTTTCAATAAAATGCTTAAGAATTTCAATGTGCTCTTTTGTAACATTTTCCCTTGTTTTACGATTGGTACTGCTATTTTCTATTCCATCCATATCAAAATTTGATACTAAAAATAATTATAAATAATTAAATTTAAATCTAGATAAATGAATAATTAGATAAATAATAACTTAATCAATCAAGAAATTTAATAATAAAACTACAAAGAACTAATACTAAATTAAATAAACCATCATCGAAAACAAAGAACTTATTATTATTTTTTTAAAGTTAATTAAGATGCTCCAAGAAGTCCTTACGGTCTTATCACAGAGCACCGCGAATGAGGAAATTCACGCCTCCTTCCCAACCGTCGCAAAACTTGCCCAGAGGTGGGTTTGAACCAGCGATCTGACGTTTCTGAGGCAAGTGCGCTACCTCTGCTCCACGGCTGCTAACTTATACTAAATTAAATAAACCCTCATCGAATCTAAAAAGTCTTCATTTTAAGTATTTTTAACCTCGTTTACCAGGAAATATGAAAATTTATTTTGAAAAAATAAATTGTTTTTTCAAAACAAATTGCTTAAATGATTTTTTTTTGTTTAAGTTGCTTTTTTACAATTGCTTTTGTAAAACGCATATAAGAATGAATAATTGCGCATATAAGAATGAATAAATGCGCATATAAGAATGAATAAAGGTGCATATAAAAATGAATAGACGCGCATATAAGAACGAATAACCCTGTGACACTAATTATTTATGAATATAAGCTTATAGCTTTTTTCCTTGTTATATGCGGAGCCCCAGGCTTTAGTTATTTATCATTGTTACTCATTCAACTGCTAAAATATTCACATCAGATTGGAAAAAAATTACAAGTGGCGTCCCTCAAGAAAGCGTCTTCAGCCCACTCCTTTTCGTACTATAAACAATCTGCCGGATAATATTACAAGCCAGTTTAAATTCTTTGCGGATGATAATAAAATTATGAACATCATAAAATTGATGAAGATATGCTAGCTTTATAATCAAACATTGATCATGCCATAAACTGGTCTAAAAAATGGTTGATGCTCTTTAATGTGGAAAAATGCCAAACAATGCATGTCGGTCGAGGTAACAGAAAGTCTAATCAAGTCTATTCAATGAAAAACACAGAAGACACTCGTCAATACCTGGAGCAAACTAAAACTGAACGAGATCTAGGTGTTCTGATATCAAATGACCTCAAAGTCCGTGCCCAAGTGGAGTCTGCAATCTCAGTAGCCAATTACAAATTGGGCCTACTCAAAGAAGCATTCCGAAGCAGAAGTATTCGTCTCTGGCGAACGTTTTACATCACATATGTGCACCCACACCTGGAATTTACTATTCAAGTATGGTCTCCTCACCTAAATAAAGATATCAATATGCTTGAAAGAGTTCAGCGCAGCGTAACAAAAGTTTCCTCAACCAAACATCTTCCATATGAGCAACGCTTAAAGATATTTAGATTGACAACACTGGAAGAGAGAAGATCTTATTGAACAGTTTAAAATTGTGAACAAAATTGATGATGTTAATTTTTTTGTTCCTCAAAGGTTCTTTAACAACTAGGGTTGAAAATTTTCGGAAATTTTCCGGGAAACTTTGCCCAAAATTTCCAAAAATTTTAAATCCAATTAACTTCATAGTTGTTATATAATTTTATAAAATTGATTTCTTTGTTTCAAAAATATGTGTTTTATCAATGTAGTAATTAGGTATCCTTTAAATATTTCAACAAAAAATAATAAAGACTTACAAACAAAAAATGGACATCTTTTATCAAGTTTTTATAGTCAATTTAAGAATCACACATTTTTAAAAAAAATCAATAAAACGCTTAGGTTGTTATATGTTACTTTTAATTAAATTTCTTTTGTAAAGCATCAAAAGTAGATATTTTCTGCGTTAGCTTATCTTTTGAGCTTGTTTATAACATATTTCTAGCTTTTGCGACGTAAAATATTCACAAAAAATACAAAGAATAAAGTCTTTTTTAGATTAATAAGTTTTATTGCGTATTACTTTTGTTGAGTGTTTTAAAGTAACAAAGATTTTTTATGTGCACAGATTGCAAAAAAAGACGGTTTTAAGGGGAGGGTGTATGGGGGAATGGGATGTTTTACCCCTTCAAAGAGTTTTGAGTGATAGTTATTTTTTTTGACGAATTTAGTCGGCTAGTCAGGAATTTGACACAATCCAGCTTGTTGAAAATTAGTTTTTAAGAACCTTATTTACTTTTATTTTTAAGAAACGGTACTTTTTACGGATTCCTATCACCCTCCCCCTAATTTTTAATATATTGATTAACAAAGTCAAAACTCTCCTAGCAAGGTCATGGCTAGTGAGATTTTATCTTTTGTCCCCCAAGATGTCCTTACGGTCTTATCACAGAGCACCGTGGAAGCACATTTAAAAGAAAGTTTACGTTCCTTTCCTTACCGATGATGTAAACCTTGTCCAAGAGGTGGCGTTGAACAACGGATCTCTAGCTTCTGAGGCAAGCGCGCTAACCGCTGCGCTACGGCTAAAACGCACTTATTTAAACATAGCAGTGGACTTATGACCTCAAAATCATTAGTTCTTTATCTTTATCGCTGACTATTTTTAAATAGTTTAAGTTTAGCAAAAGAATTTTTCTTACTTTTTGCCTTTCATTGATTAAAAACGTCTTTAAAACAAGAAAAAAATTGTAAAATACTGCAAATACTTATATAAAATCTTTTTAAATATAATTTTTAAGTTTTCAGTAATTTGTCGGTCGATTTAATAGATATTGACTAATACAACAATATGAACATCAATATGCATAGCAAATAGCAGGATAAAACAGTTTTAGAAAATTTTGAAAATAAATCATCATAGTTGCTATTTATAGTTATAATAAAAAAAAATACCCAAATAAGTGTTTTTTAATGGGGGCTGTCTAAAATTTATATGATCTGCTTCACAATATCTTACCATAAAATTGTTCATTACAACTGTCTAAGACATAAAATTTTACCCATTAAAAATAAAATAACATCTTTTTTTTTTAAATTTCAGAAAAATTCTCGAGTTTAAAATTTTGAAACCCTACTAACAACACATATAGTAGGAGAAGTCATAAATAGCTACACAGACAATTTCTTAGCGACATTACTGTTTTACTAATCGTGTCACACCTTCCTGGAATATGCTACCACAGGAAGCAATTGACAGTCACACAGTCAACTCATTCATAAGTGTCCTATCATGATGGACTTGTCTTGTCTCGTCGATAATTTACCCTACACATTAGTTAGTATAGAGATTCCTGTTGTTGCATCTTTTCGTCAATATACTTTATAATTAATGATTGACTAATTTACAGTATTATTAAATTTTGTAAAAACATAAATAATTCTTGATTGTAAATTTATTGATTCTAAATAAAATCAAAATCAAACTCATGTTATTGGGCGGATACTAGCATAAACCATACAAAGCATATTGGGTCATTTTGGATTTGTTTGTAAAATTGATTCAAGTTTTAAATCTGCGCAATTAGGATTTTTATGAAACGCTGCTCAAAAATTTTTTTTTTTTTGAGGATTGCAAGCAGTGTTAAATAAAAAAGTAAAGATGGCAGAATTATAAAAAATAACGAAGCCCAACATTTTTTTTATTAAAAAGTATTTACGCATGCTTGAAAAAAATACCCTTGGATTTTGGAAATAGCTTTAAAACAATTTTACAAAGCAAACGAAATTTTTCTCGATAAATTTCGAAATCTCGACAAATCTTTTTGATAAATTTGTTTCTTTTTCATTTTACTGAGCCTACTTTCCATTTAAAAAACGTTTATTTCATTTGAAGTCATCTTATTTCCATTCCATTTTCTTGAATTTTGTTTCTAAAAATAAATAAATTTACTTATTTATAATATAAAACCGTCTATAAATGGCTATTATCATTTTTCTATATACAGATTTCGATAGATGTCAATTATCTTTCTATATATGGCAATTATCTTTCTATACATGGCAATTATTTTTCTATACATGCCAATTATTTTTCTAACTATCTTACTTTCTATGAGTAGAGGCGATTCTATGGAGCGAGGGGTTGTCATACCCCCCTTTCCCTAAAGAAGGCGATTTTAAAGTTTGTCGGTTTTTTGAGGAATATAGTCGGATATTCGAGACATTTGATCTGATGAATTTTAGTTTAAAAGATTTTTTTTTTTTTAAATTAAGCAATCGGTATTTTAAGGATTTGCACCCTTCTTCTTCCTCATTTTATTTCTAATTGCTTCTGTATATATTTAATGAAATAAACTGATGGGGGCCTCAAAAAATCATAAATATTTTTTAAATTGATAATGGTTCTTCAGATGCTCCAGTATATTTAACAATGTGCACATGTTTTTATTTAAAAATTGAATTTTTATTAGTTTTCGTCATTTAAACAGATTAAGATAACTCTTTAATTTACTTATTGACAATTATCAAAAGAAACACCAACGCATATCTGAATTTTTAGTACATGTATATAATGTATGTGTGTGTGTGTTTGTACAAATACAAAAACTCTTGAACGTAAAACAGTGCTCAATATTACTATAATAGAACAATAAATATTTAAATTTACATAATATATATATATATATATATATATATATATATATATATATATATATATATATATATATATATATATATATATATATATATATATATATATATATATATATATATATAGGGCCGCTATGAATTGCAAAGTTGTTTCCCGTCCCCGCCCGCCTCATATTTTAAAATAATACGATTTTGTCCATTATTTGTTTCTTGCGTCATTAATCCATTTTTTTTCACGGCCTACTTAATAACAGGCCTGAAGGACACGCAAAAAAAAAAAATAATAATAATAACTGAAGGCGAATGTTTATATAGTAAAAACAAAAATAAACAAAAATGGAGAATGTTGGCTGGTTTTTCAGCGTTGCTAGTTTTTATTTTTGTTAAACATCATGTGGATTTTTAAATATTGAATATAAGCTAAAAACTTAGCTACACACATATATATATATATATATATATATATATATATATATATATATATATATATATATATATATATATATATATATATATATATATGACAAAATGACAAAAAACATAAAGTAAAACTATGACAAAAAACATAAAGTAAAACTTTTTCTGTTACCAGAGAAAGATGGATTCATACAATACCAAAGGAAAATATTCCAGAAAGTCCAAATACATTTATTTGCAACAATCATTGGCCAGTTGATTGGCCAGTTGAACCTGTCAAGTTCATGGTAAAATTTCGTCCTGTAAACCCACCAACTATTTTTATCTGTGTATTACCAAGTCAAATTCCTACACCTCTACTTAAAAAAAGAACAACAACAGAATCACTACCATCTACACGTAACAAATGCTGATGAAATTTTATACCACTGGATTTGTATAAAATTAATTGTTTTGATGACCTTTGCAAAAAAGTAAGCGAAGAGAATATTACTTTTCCAGTAATACCCTTTACAGTGGATGATGGTTTAATAATCCAAAGTAAAAATTATATTGATACCTCTGTCGTTCCACAGAGAACTTTTTCTTTTAAAAATTAAAATGAATGTGCAATTTGAAGGTTTTCATTGTAGATCAAGATGCACATTTAAACCACTATGCAGTAATCAAATAATAAAATTTATCTTATTTACAAATTATTGAAGCTATTTGATATTTGTATTCCATTATAATGGATAAAAAAAAAATTGTCCTCCAACCAGTTATTAGCATGCATGTATTAACATTTGTTGGTAATAAAAAATATTTTTGTTACCAACAAATGTTAATACATATAAATATTGTTGGTAATAAAAACACTTTTGAGTGTTTCGTAATTTCAAGATCTCTTTAAAATCGTATTAAAGATGATTATGAAATGCCAAGTATTGTAACATTTGGTAAACTTATATCAAACGTTGGTAAATTAGAAGACGTTGATTTCCTTAACAAATACTTTATGCATCTTGAAGATCCTTGTCAAAAAAATGTCATTATTATAATTGACGAAGTTTATGCAAAACCGCAACTAACATATCAAGGCGGTAATTTATTTGGAAAAGCAGTAAATAATCCAGAACATTTTGCAACCACTTATAAGTTTTACGATTTGCTCATTATTTGGAAGTAAAAAAATTTTTTACAAAGCTCTACCAGTGTAATCAGTACTGTTTTTCAATATAAGCAAGTTGTTGATATGATAAATTTAGTTTCTTCATGTAATGGCAATACTGTTGCAATTTTGTGTGGTAATAATATAGTAAATCAAGCATTCCTTAAAAAATTCATTTTGATTTCTCCATGGAGGACACTGAAAACATTTTTTTGCTTTTTGATTATGTCCATCTAATCAAATCTCTTAGAAAAAATTTGGTAACTGAAAAATTCAAGAGTTAAAATATTCAGACTGTGGCCTTAAAAAAACTGCAAGTGGATTGACTTAAAAATACTGTTTGAGTTGGAGAAAAATTCTACTGTTAAACTATCAAAGCTCAATCAAATGTCTATCTGTCTGAAGCCCATAGAATGACAGAATGTTGCATTGAGTCTTCTGCTGAAACATTAACTGCACAAAGTTTATCCAGAAATGCAGGATTCATGTGAAACAGTTGGTTTTATATCAAAACTTGTAGACTTTTTTAAAATCCTAAATGTTAAAAGTCAGTTTGAAGATGTCCGATTTAAAGATTTTATGATCAGCAATTATAATTTTAACTTGATTTAGCAATTATGTTTGAAAAAATAGCATGAAATTGCACGTTCGCAATACATTACTTTTTCTTAGTACTAAGAAAAAGTAATGTATTGCGAACGTGTTTTCTGTGACCATTATTATATTACAGTATTAGTTATATAGACTATAATCATATTTTATAGAGAATATTACAATAATACTTTTATTTCTTTGTTATTTTTATGTTAAAAAGAGTAAGAAAGACGTTTCAAATATATTCTTTTTTTTTTTTTTACAAAGTCTTAGAGATGTTTTATTTTGTAATAAAACATTGTTTAAAATTTGCACCACATAATTTTATTAAAATTTCATGCTAAAGGTCAATTGTAGTTTTAGTTGAAGAAATTATGAAATGACAATGTTTATAAAATAGTCAAGAAAATTCATAATTCAAAAGCATGTGGTGTAAAGTCAAGGCCAAGGACCTAATTTTTAAACTTAAGGCAAGGCCAAGGACTAACAACTCTGAAAAAAGTATGAAAACAAAAAAAATAAAAAAATATGCAGTACTAGTCCGAGTGACAAGCCCCGTCACGCTTTCATGGTGTACGTTATAATAAAATAAAAACAACCTTATTTTGTACAAAGTCTTGCCAGTTTTTGCAAAACGTATACGACCTAGATCTATATAGGCTCATCAGGTCTTATTATACCAGGTTTATTATACTTATAATATTATTTTTATAGGTATAGTACTACTGTTGCAAAAAAATGTACATAATTACCTAAAAACGCTAAAGATTTATTTTTCTTACATGATGCATTTGTTAACGTACCGTTTTACGAGTCTCTCTTATAAACTGATTAGCTTTAGGCTGAAGCTTATCGCTAAAAATCAATCTGCTGCAATCCTGACCTCTATAGGTATAAATGACATGAGTCAGTTATGTTCATTTTAAAAACCTTCTTGGCTATATATTGTTTAGGTATCTACATCATAATAAATCCACGTTTTTAAAGTTTGATTAATAATTTTTAGTATTAGCAAATATTCAATAAAAATTTATAATAAAATTAAAGATATCTCAATACAAAGTGCTTGTTTGGACATTTAAAAAATTTTAGTTATGAAAAAAAATTTTTTGGTCTGAAAAATAACCCCAGAACCTAACTGTTTACATATCTATAAAAAAAAGTGTAAAAAATAAATAAATAATAAAATAATGGATAATGGAATTTTGCCGCCTGCCCGCATACTTTACTGTTTTTATTTAAGGATGGGAAACAACTTTGCAATTCAAAGTGGCCTAAGTGTATGTATGTATGTATGTATATATATATATATATATATATATATATATATATATATATATATATATATATATATATATATATATATATATATATATATATATATATATATATATATATATATATATATATATATATATATATATATATATATATATATATATGGTCTTGCATGGAAGTCACAAAGTTTTTCCCATAAACTGTTGCTTTAAAGAGCGCGTTAATAAGGATGACCAGAAAATGTTAAAAAACTTCAAAAAATTAAAAAAAAAAAATGATAGACTGCCTGCCCAAACCAAACCCACAGTCGATGTAGCAGCACTTCCTTGCAAGTCAGGCTATTTGTCAGTCAATGTAGCAGCACTCCCTTGCGAGTCAGGCTATTTGTCAGTCGATGTAGCAGCACTTCCTTGCGAGTCAGGATATTTGTCAGTCGATGTAGCAGCACTCCATTGCGAGTCAGGCTATAAGATAGTCGATGTAGCAACACTCCCTTGTAGCAGCAGGTTATAAGATAGTCGATGTAGCAACACTTACGCATGTTTTAAAAATGTTTTTTAATAAAACAAAAACAAAAACACCACTAATTAAAAAAAACTTTATAGTCATTATTATTGCGGTTTATTTAAAAAACAATAAAATTTAATTTATTTCCGCATTAAATTAATTGCTTTGACATTTCGATGACAATCAAATACAATTTAAGAGACGAGGTAATAAAAATTGTAGTCGAAAGAGACTTTTTTTACCATAAAAGTCTCTTTCAACTACACTATAAGAATATATATATATATATATATATATATATATATATATATATATATATATATATATATATAT